CACCCAATATCAAAGTAAGTACTATTTCATTCTTTTCTTTTTCTGAATGGTATTATATCGTACAATTATAGTATCCACCTGCATATATCCAGTTTCAGATTTCAAGCACTATCTGTTCACTCAATACAAATTGTACCAAATATAGTACTACTTAGTACTTTTCGTGCACTTGTAGTACCTATTTTCGAAACCAACTTTCTATCCTAAATCTTCAACAAACAGGGATCATAAAGATAATTTCCGTTCACTCTAAACCAAACTGTTTCAAATTTAGTACCATTTAGTACATGTCGCATAATTAATACACATTTCCAAGGCCATATTCATATTTCAAACTTGATTTCTAGCTCAATTTTCAAGTTTCTATCTCTCTCAGTTCACATAATACAAAATAATAACATCTTCGAAGTTTAATACCATTTTAGAACTTTTCGTAACCGTATACCTCATTTTAACACTCTAGCTCATTCCGTTTGTCCAATACAATGTATTGAATTTTTAGTACTTTACGTACCCTTTCCGTACCCTTTCCAAAATCATACGACAAAGCATCAAGACTGACCCTCGTGTAAAATTTTAAGGTTTTAGCTTCAGTCTGGCCATTAATTCTCAGTCTATTTAGTTATTTCACTATTCTCTTATTTACATAAAGGTAAAGGAACGGTTAATAAAATCAGTCGATAGATTTAGAAGAAATGCTGACGAATTTATATTTTTCTGGGTAAAAAGTTTTTGTCATTGGAGTTGTTTTAAAATAACTCCTAACGAGGGTTAGAGTTTCTTTCCGCCTTACCCTTGGTCTGGGTTGGGTATATTGCACTAAATTTTTAGAGCACTAAAAGTTAAATAATTAGTGGTAGTTCTATTAAAATTTCAATACCACTAGAGAAAAATTAAATTACACAAAAAATAAAATCCATTAAAAATTCTTTTAAAATCTTTAAAATACCTAATATAGGAAGGTGCCGATATATGGGGGATGTACGATATTGTGGACCTATAAAGACAAATCTATGTCTGGGTGTAAAGTACTCACAAGAAACTCCTTGTGTGGATTCTCATACAATTCCATTGGAAAAAGTGGCTTAAATCATCAAAATACCGAATATCGGGGGGTACCGTTATACGGGAGATATACGATATTATGGACCTATATAGGCAATTCCTATTCAGGGAGTATAGTGCTCACAAAGAACTCCTTATGTGGATTTTCAGACAATACGATTGGAAAATGTGGCTAAAATCAGAAAATACCGAATATCGGGGGGCACCGTTATATGGGTGCTATACGATATCGTGGACCGATATAACCCATCTTCGAACTTGACCTGCTTGCAGACAAAAGAGAGATCTCTGCAAAATTTTAGCTTTCTATCTTAATTCGTTTAGACTGTAGCGTGATTACAACAGACGGACACACGGACGGACAGGGCTAAATCGTCTTATAATTCTACGCTGATCAAAAATAAATATACATTGTTGGGTCAAAAATGATTATGAGTTACAAACGGAATGACGAACTAAATATACTATGTATTGTGGAGGGTATAAAAAAACAGATCAACCACTAAAATTTGGTGGTAGTGAAATTTTAGTAGCACAAATAAATAAAAAATATTGTTATAAAAATAGCGGTAATGGGATTAAGCCTGACTATTTTGCAACAGCAAAATAATCTCCTACTTTTGTGAATTTAGATATCTTGGCCCAATTCAGGTCAATGCCGATCCTCCTTAAACGAATTCATTGTACTTCCACTTAAGCCTCTTATTCTTAAACATGAGATCGAGTCTTTGCAATACGATTTTGATTAAAAAAAACGGTGTTTTATTCTCTTAATTGGTTTGGATATAAGATCTAGCCTCCTTCAGAAACACAACCAAAACTGCCACCTCAATCCACAAGAGGATGGGGGTCAAATGCGGAAGTGGGATGTATATGTTCACTCCATCTGTTACCGCCCTCACAAAGTTCAACGTTTAGTAATTCATAATAATTTCTAAAAGACAACAAACTGTTTGTGGCCAATAAATAGTTTTCCCAAATAGATTGGACATTGGAGAATTACATGAAACACTATTTAATTAAATTTGGGGTATTTTTGCATAACAACCATCACTAAAATTATATCTGCCTGTTTTCTTTATTGCTGCCAGTAAATATTTGCACTATGGATAAAATAATGGGGTTTCCCGTTATTTGCATGTAATGATAGATTTTTTAATAATCTTAATCTTTATGGTGTAGCCTTGATGATAGGTCATTAATTAGTTAGTTGGGGGTGTGTCAAAGATAGCGCGTTCAACAGGTGTCTGGAAAACATTTTTTCGGCAACAATATATAAATAATAGTTGCTTTCCCATTCATGAACTTTGGAGTATTGGGAAGGCGTCACATCTTCTGAAGAAACTAAAATGATTATAGCGATTACAAATGATTTGATCAAGCTGTTAGCTTCTGACAATAGATGTATTTGGCGTCAGTTTTTTTTTTTTTTTTTTTGAAAATCGAGTGCGGCCTCGGCATGAGTGCCGTCATGATGAAACCAAATGTTGCCAACATCCTCTGAATTTTTATACTCTACAATACCATATGTTGGGAGTATTATAAGCTTGATTGAACCAAAAAGTTTGTAACACCTCGAAATATTGGTCCTGGACGTAGGATAGGATCTCCCGATCTCGTGCGGAGTCGACCTATCTATGTGTGTTCGTCCGACTGTCCGTGTTAATTTGTTAATAATCACGCTACAGGTCACATTTATGACCGAATTCTCATGAAATGGTGATAGGGTTAAAATAGAAATCTATTGTATGTGGAGATGATCGCAAAAAATTAGGGGGTTGGACCAAAATTTGAAAAAAATTCCGGAATTTCTGAGATGTATTTGATATTTTTCTCCGAGTATCGTTGTTATGGAGTGCAGATTACGGCTGTGGAGGAAATAAACAAATAGGATGAAGAATATATATGGGAGCTATAGCTTTATCTGAAACCATTTCGACCAAATTTGACACACTTGTTTCTAGGCTCGATTTGGTTACATGTGCAAAATTTCATCTAATTTTATCAAATCGCATGAAGATTTAAATTTTGACCGATTATCTCCAATTTCAATAGGGCTCGTCCTTGGGCCAAACAAACTCATTGTGCAACATAGCATCTCTATCGGGTAATAATTGCGACTTGTTTACAAAATAACATGGACAGACAGACGGACGGACATGCATAAATCAATTCATAATGTGATTCTATGCAGACCATCAAAAGTAACTATGGGTATAACTCGCTTCCTTCCCTATGTTACAAACAAATTCACAAAGACACAATACCCTGATTACAGGTATAAACATTAAGTTCAGTCAGGTCGAACTTGAAATAACCTTCACTATTTCGCTTTAAACTACGAATACTTGTAAGATCGATTGCAGAATGCGGTAAAGTTTTCAAGAACCAATGTGGGTGGAATAGTTATAGTTGGCCATACCAAAACGGGAACGCATATAGATAATGTTATAATACAAAGTGTTTTATCTATTGAGAGTCTAAAATTCCAAATTTGAACAATTCAATGGGTAAATGTGACTAGGATTATCAAAAAATATATGGAAACAGAATTTGAAACAAATCCGATAGAAAAATTGGATTAAAACGTTAAAATACGAAATAGCCGTAGGTGTCATTATATAGGAAAATGTGGACCTACACATACAATGTTCTGCCACCGGAGCTAGAACCCGGTACGGTTTTATAGGTGTTGTACCAAAACGTGGAACATTATATATCATTTTTATACCAACCATCCAAGACAATACAATCTATTGTGCCAAATTTTAAAGCTCTATGTCAAATAATGTGGGCTGTATCATAATTTCAACAGACATGACTGTAAATAAATCCCAAGGACAAACTCTTCGTGTAAGTGGACTAAATTTGGCATGTTCCGGCTTGTCTCATGGCCAGCACTAAGTGGCATGTTCACGCAAGGGTAGACCGATCGATTTTCTTTGTTTACGCTCCTGAAGGAAAAAAAAAACAATTAAAAAAGCAGTAAGTTCGGCTGGGCCGAACTTTGAATACCCTCCACCAAATGAAACGAGTTTGGAAATTTTCAAAAAAAAAAATCCGTTAACAATTCTATTACATCGCAAAATCGACATAGAATTTTATGCTGATCAAGAATATATATACCTTGTGGGGTCTAAAATGTTTATTTCGAGGTGTTACAAACGGAATGACAAACTTAATATACCCTCCATACTACTGTGGAGGGTATTAAAAAATATTGTATATCCTAAAGCATTACAATAAATGCGATTTTTAAATTTTTGAATTCGTTTTTTGTTTAATTAAAACCTCAAAATGTTTGTATATACAATTTTGAATGCATTTAAAAGCAATGGGACTGTGATTCGTACCGGGTCCAGCTAGTATTATATGTTTGGAATATATCGCTGCACGTTTAGGTATAGTTCCTGATTTTCGTTTTTTTTTTGAGTTTTCAGTCCAAAATTTCTAACTCATCGGCTGTATTTTAATATTTCAGGCTTTCAGAAGACACCTATTGGAACCATACCTCAAGCGAGTTTCACTCTCAACGGGCGGGAGTCACTTTTATGAACATTCAGAGTCATTTCAAGTCTTACATCAACAACTCATCATAAAATTATTTTTTCTTCGCTGAGTTTTGAGCCCGAAACCTTCATTACGTGGTAGTGAGGATAATGTATTTTTTCAAGCACTGGTTATGTAGAATGCAGTTTGTGGCACCCAAGTTTTTTCTGAGTATGTTTACTTTTTTACAATTGGTATGAAAAACTGAAAATTAATATTAATGTAAGGAATCCTCTTTATATATTTGCAACTATTACATAACTATAAATATGCGAATGCGAATTTATCCACTTAAATATGCAAACTATCTATGGAAATTTAACAATTATCCCTTAATGGATTTCCAAGTAATAACCATCGTTAACTTTATAAATAGATGAGTTCAACTCATTTATAAAATTCCAAGGAAGGAATAATCAACGACAGTCGGCAATTGCTAAGCTACAAATCACCATTGAATCATATCATCAGCAAAACGAAACGCAATGTATTACAACCATCCTTTGTTCAGTTTCAACGTTAAAATGTGGAAATATTTGGGTTTCATAGAGTTCAAGAGAATCAATCAGGCTTTGCTCATACTCATCATTCCGTGCCTGATAAATTTGTGTCAGGTTATGAATATCGCCTACAACTGGAACGACATGAGCGTTATTGCCATTGGCCTATTCATGACTGCTATTTTATTTAATGCTCTGGTGCGTATAACAACCGTGATGAGGAATCAATCGAAATTTATAGAATTTTTTGAAATGATTGAAAAATGGTATCGAGAAATTGAGGTAATTTAATGAATTAAAAAAATGGAATCAATCAAAATATGATTTATTTTGAAATTTCATTAGATGGGGTCGGATGAAGGAGCATGGGATTTATTGAAACATATACCGCGAAGAACGCGTCTTATTTCTATTTTAAGTTTTTCATTTGCTGCCGGGGCAGCTGTGGCTTCAGCAACAATTCCGCTGTTTGTGGAGCAACGAAGTAAGTGATCTAATTATATTATTATTTGTTTCTATTTATATCCTACACCACTTAGTGGTAAGGGTATTACGTCTTTGTGGATTTGTTTGTAACATGCAACCCATAGTTACTTTTGAGGATCTTCATAGAATCACTTTCTAAGTCGATTTATGCATGTCAGTCCGTCTGTCCATGTATTTTTGTGAACAAACTGCATGTCGCATTTATTGTCCGATTGAGATAAAATTTTCCAAACAATATGTGTTTGGCCCAAGGACGAAACCTATTGAAATTGGTGAGAATCGGTTCAAACTTAGATATAGCTCCCATATATATCTTCATCCGATTTCGGGTTAATTGTGCACCAAATGACAAATATTAGCCCAAATGGACTTAATTTTGGCACTTCCGATGGGAATTCACCCACAAGCAAGAGATTCAAATTTTGCTGAAAATCGGTTCAGATATAGTTATAGCTCCCATATATATTTTTCATCCGATTTGGTGTTAAAATCCCTCACATGCGCAATATGCACTCCATAACAATTATATTTGATACCGGTCGTTAGATACTGCTCGAAAATACCTGTGTCAAATTTTATCGAGATCGGTTCTGATTTTTATACAGCTTCGAAATACATCTTCATCCGATTTTACGGTTATTGTTTACCATATATGTAATATTAGCCAAAATTAAATAGATTTTTTCATATTCAACCGAATTTTTCCATTTGGTGAAACTCGGTCCAGTACATCCATAGCTCCAATAAATATTTTTTATATAATTCTTATCGAAGTCATATCATGCACTTTGGTACTAGAGGTGTAATATATAGGCTGTCCCGCACGACTTTTGACCTTTCCTTACAGATTTTTTATTATTTGGTATTTTGTTCATCATTTCAGGTTTGCCATACGATATGCACATCCCGTTTTATGACCACCTGAAAAGTCCAATGTACGAAATCCTCTATTTTATGCAGGGTTTCATCTCGATGCCCTTTTGTGTGCTGACTTATGTTCCCTTTACAAACCTCTTCATTGCCTGGCTAACATTTGGAATAAGTCTGCTGCAGATTCTACGTTACAAATTAGAGTCATTGCCACATGAAAATGATGAGGAAATGTTGAAACAATTAATTGAATTGATACGATTTCATCATCGAATTATTAAGTAAGTGGTGAAACTTCGATGGGAAAATATTTTTTATTTTTTTCTTTCTTTTTTCAGTTTTGGCCAGACATTGGAAAGTTTGGTATCGTTTGTATGCCTCGTGGAATTGGTATTATTCACCCTAATGTTGTGCGTTCTCCTGGCCAGTTTTCTAGTGGTAATTGGAACATGAATCACCTCCAGTGATTCAGCAATCAATCATAATTTGATAATGCATTTCTGGAAATTTATTTTTCAGATGGACAATGTCATGTCGAAAATAGCAACATGCATTTACATATTTTGCATTCTCTATGCCCTGTTCATTCCCTACTGGCATGCCAATGAATTTTCATGGGAAGTAAGTAGAATTATTTTTTAGGACTAATTTTAAATGCAAATAATTTCAATTTGGAACAAAGGAGTCAAATTTTGTTTGATCCTTTTTGTATTTATGTGAATTTATTTTTATATTTTTGTGACTGTGACTGTCCTGCAGAAAATTTGTTATCAATTTTCCAAATTCTTTTGTAATCACTGGCTTTCGAAGGTCATTTTTTGCGTATTGTGAGGATAATTCGTCACACTTCCAACGGCATTGTCATTGATTTGATATTTCGAGTTCTCAGTAGCTAATTATCAATTTCCGGTTTAGTTCAGGGCATGTAATTGTGGAGGGTACAGTTTTTTCATTCATAAGGTATGTACACATTTGGGTTTTTTTGTTTGAAGATAGGTTCAGCTCGATAATGAATTATGAACTACGAATGCCATAGTACCAATTTTGAAGCAAGTCCGTGGAAAAATGTGTCTAATATAATCGGGAGGTACATGGGGGCTATAAGGAAACATGTTCTATAACAATCATTGTAGACTCAATGCCAACTATTACGCCATATTATGTCAATAGACAAATGGGCATTTTAGATTCGACTTAGAATATTATGCAGTTCACGACGAATGTAAGAAGGCCTTACAACCTGATTAAACTCTCCTTTCTATATTATATTTATATTTTGTAAATGTTGCATTTTTATATCCGCTGCAGAAAAACGCAACAAAATATAAAAACAAAATATATCAGAAATTTGGTAAAAATCATAGCTCTGATTTGCTAGATCGTACTTGAAAGTAAAAGAGATTTAAAAGAAAGTTACTCTCCACTCATTTGTGCTATGTGGGAGCAGTCGTACTCCATTTTGTGTACAAAAACAAAAAGAGGTTTCTTGCTACTGATAAAAGTATTCATAGAAGAGACTATTTAAGATATTTTGGAAGGTCACGCCACTTTCACTTAATTTGAGGTAGTGCCCTAACTTAAATTCATTTTCCTTCTTCAGTCAATAATCAGTCAGTGAAATTCAAAAGTTGATGATTAGAATCTGAAATTTATACGATTAAATGCATGCAGGTGAGTGCATGGAAACAAACTAAGGTAGAAGGCTAGGAGTACCCTCTTTAAGCCTATATTTTGACAAAATTAGGATACAGATAGTGTATCCTCTGTAATTTGTATCATGACCGAGTTTATAACAAAACAAGTTTTGCCGACAATGTTTTATTATTTATATTTAAATAATAAAACATTGTCGGCAAACCCTCTATGGAGTAGGTTCCGAAGGAATGGGTCAATATTGCCCATTTCGTATCGGACCTAAATAAGTACGATAGAAATATTGCAACGTGCTAGGTTAGGACAATATTGGTTACTTCCTTTGCGTTATCCCGATATAGTCTAAGAAAATCTATTATTTATATCCAATTTTGTGCGAAATCATAAATTCCATATTTCTGGTTGGCTGACTTGTTTTGCAAGCTATGACAGATAAATGTATCAAAAATTGTAACCCTTTGTGGGTAAGGTACCGAAGAAATTCGCAGATTCATATCATCTTCACAACAGATCTTTTGTTAGCAACAATGTTTGTATGTGTGTGGAATTTGAGGAGAGTTGTATGCTTATTTCTCTTTTTTGAGGGTTTTGATTTTTTCAAAGTCGTGAACCCTATGTGGGGCAGGTACCAGAAGAAATGCTCCGATCTTCACCATCTTTATAACAGATCTTGCGTTGATAGAAATATTGAGATGTACCAAGTCTTGAATGGAATCCGATATTGATTTCACATTTTATGAGCTTCATTGATATTCTAAATTTTTACCCTTTGTGGGGGATGAACCAAAAGGAGTGAACCGACACATTTCGTCTTCACGCCCGACCTTGGGAAAAAGCCGAGAAAATTTCTGTGCGAAGTCTATGAGTGACATCTTTCAGCTCATATATTCGACACAATTGGAATCCGTGTAGCATAATCCTGTAATTCCGAATCCCGAATAGTCGTTTTACGACAACAACAATATTCGTTTACTCTCCACTCTTTTGTTTTGTGTGGAGTGTTCCCGAGAAGAGAATGAAACTCAGTGGTCTGACTAGAATTGGGGAAGAAGAGTTCACGCACCAGTCCAATTTGTCTTATTTTTTTTTGAAACTTATTTACATTTTACGGATTTGTCCAAAAATTTGCATTTGTTATTCGTAATGCGTTCCAGCTCCGGTATTCGGTTTTTGGCGGTTTTAGCCACATCTTTCCCCATATTTGTCTAAAAATTTGTAATTGTAGTTCATATTGCGGTCCAGCGACATAACATTGAATATCTAGGTCCGCGTTTTCGTATGGGGGATATATCGATATTCGTTATTTTAATGGTTTAAGTCACATTTTTTTATGAACTTGTCCAAAAATTTGCATTGCAGTTCGTAATGGGTTCTAGCTTTATCCACGTTTTCGTATAGCTCCTACATAACTGTACATCCCAATATTCAGTATTTTAATGATTGTTGCCATATTTTTCCACGAATTTGTGTAAGAAATTGTATTCGTAGTTTATAATAGGTTCTAGGATCCGGTGGCAGATCATTGTATATATAGGTCCACGTTTTCGTATAGTCCCTATTTAATGATAACTCAAACATTTTTTACGGGTTTGTTTAAAATGGGTTATAGCTTCGGTCGCAAACCACGAATTTGTTTCAAAATTTGTATTTATGACTCGCAATAGATAGCAATCCATATAGGTTTCGGTTTTGGCATGATCCCCATATAACGGCCTCATCCGCTTTTTGTTTTTCTAATTTAAAATGCATTATCCAAACGGCCTTATTGGTAATTGTAGCTTAAAGTGGAACACGTTTCAATTCAGATACTTATATATATATATATATTTTCTTTACCCAGAACGGCCCAGAACTTAATTTTCTTTACCTTTTTTTTTAATTTGCCTTATTTCTAATTTTGGACATGTTAAAAAAATATAATTTGTTTTCTTTCAAATGACCAAGCAGGGTTTGACTGGAATATGTTGTTAATAAAGCAAATTATTATAAGTTATAAATGCATTATATTATTATTATTATTATTATATTATATAAGTTTTAATTAGTTTGTGTTTTAACAACAATAAAGAAAAATTAGACTGGTGCGATAGATCACGTTGTTGATCAGCTATGTCTTACATTATCGACGTTTACTAATTAGTCGGATACACTTGAATATGAGGAAAATAAGTTATATTATGTTGTAATAGAATTAGCTCATTACTTTCAGCCAGTTTTTAATGCAAAAAATAGTCACCTATTCGGCTTATGGTTTTATTCTCAATTTTATTACTGAATTCTTAAAGGTCGACGTTCGTACTTGGAATATAATATAAAGTTTTGTATTTTAATCAAGAAAAAACTATTCCTTTTAGTTCATTAATTTAAATTTCCCTAAGATAAATTCATAGTTTTTCAAATTGACATATATTTCACATTTCAGAGCACAAAAATTGCCGATGCTGCTTATAATATAAAATGGACGAGATCCAACATTAAGATACGAAAATGTATTGCAATGCTAATATTGCGCAGCCAAACTCCGCTAAAGGTAGGATTTGTTGTTATTTAAATATTTTTTAATGTGAATTGCTTTTCAGATAAAGGCTGGTGGAATATTTCCTATGACTTTGGAGGCATTTCAAGCTTTGTTGAATACCACATATACGTATTTTACCATGTTCAAGGGAATGATGGGGAAAGAGCCCAACGTGCATGATAGGGACCAGTAAATTATGATTATGTTATTAGCACAGCACGTTTTTGTAGTTCAATTATTAATAGTTTTTGCACTGGTCACCGTTGAAAATATATGAAAAGTTCAATGATTATAAGTAAAAATTATGGTTGACTACTATAAACAAATACCCACCCTTTTCAATCACTTCTCACACTTGAAACATGTTAACAACTTGTTTGATGGCCTACTATCGCGTTATTTGCTTACAATAAACGGTATGTTCATCCAAGTAATGGCCATGTGTCCTATGTTAAGAATTTGCTTAGAGTACAATTCACTTTTATTAATTGGAATTTGGGGAATTTAGTTAAGAGCTATGTGAGCTTTGCTTTCATAAAGTCAAGTATGTATAAGGTCTCCCATATCTCTTAAATTAAATATATTGAAAATACCTGTTACAACTATTACCCTTACAGAAAGAACGTTGACTTGTTTCTTGGCGCAAGACTACTACGGGAACTTACACCCTTAACTGCATCTGTATTTTATAATTTGCTCCAGTACTCATTTTTATACCCTCCATCATATATAGTATGGGGGGTATATTAAGTTCGTTTTTCCGTTAGTAACTCATCGAAATAATAATTTAAGCCATAGCAAAATATATATATTCTTGGTCAGCTTAGAATTTTAAGACGATTTTGCCCTGTCCTTCTGTTGTAAGCAAACTAAAGTCAAAACGAATAAAGATAGGAAGCTAAACTTTTGCACATATCAGTATTTTGTCTGCAGGCAGGTCGAGTTCGAAGATTGGCTATATCAGTCCATGATATCGTATAGCCCCTATATAACGATATCCCCCGATATTCGGTATTTTAATGATTATATCCAAATTGTCTGAAAATCCACAAAAGGAGTACCCCCTGGAAGAGTGTTGTCTATATAGGTCCACGTGAAGCCCCCCATATAACGGTACAACCGATATTCGGTATTTTAATTATTTTAATCACAGTTTTCAATGGAACTGTCTGAAATTCCGCACAAGGAGTTCTTCGTGACTACTTTATTGTCTATATTGGTATAGTCCCGATATAACGGTACCTTCCTATATTCGGGATTTTGGTGATTTTAGCGACTTTATTCACCGGATTATTTCAAATTTCGTATTTAGAGTTCGTAATGAGAACGACAGTCCATGCCAAAAAAATTGTCTATGCAGGCCCAGATCTTCGTATAGGCCACATATATCAGTACCTTCCTATATTCGTTATTTTGACGATTTTAGGTACAATATTTACCGAAATTGTTTGAAATTTGAAAATTGATGTTCGTAATAGGTACTACACTCTCTATATTTTGTATTTTTAAATTATCTTAGCTACATTATTCACGGGATTTTTTTTCAAGATTCGTATTGTGATGGCTAATGACAAAAATTGCCTATGCAGGTCCATGTCTTCGTATATACCCCAATATAACGGCTATATTCGGTATTTTTAAGATTTTAACAGAATTATTAATAGATTTTATTTCTTTTTTTTTTGTAATTTCCAAGTTTGTTCCAAATGGTGGAGGTTATTCAAAGTTCTGTCCGGCCGAGCTTAAACCTTTTTTAATTGTTAATGTTTTAAAATCCCATTGGAATATTTTTATTCTCCTCGGGAATGATTGTAAAAATATAAACATTCCATCGAAATTTGCTAATTATAATTATTAGTGATTTGTTTTTAAGAAAACAAATATTTTCGTTACAAAATAGCTAATTAATATAAATTAATTTAAATAATTTGATTACGCTTATAAGCACGCTGGTATTTCCTAACAAAACAGAATAAAGCATTCAATAGCGTGTGTCAAACCGAATGCCCTTATTTGGAAAATTTTCAAATCGAAAATATACGCAACCACCTACCAGACTAATACTTACCGGCTCCTCTCGTGAGCATTGCCACTGGTATTGCTGCTGCATAATGTCCGCCTCCACCTGCTGTTCTTGCCGAACTGACAACCAATTTGTACACGTTGGAGTAATTGACGCAACATTATACCGTAGACGCGCGTAAAATCTGCAAAAAAGGAAAAGATCTTCAGCGCTCATGTACATACACACATATAATTCATAACTACGTAAGCTGTGGCGTAATATTCCTCATATCTCTCGTCTGTAGTCATGAATGAATTTTTGAGATTGTTCAAGTTATTGCATTACTAATCGCCCGGAGTGAAGAGAAAATAAAAACTGGTATTCTAAAGAGATAATCCGCTGGATGCGTTTAAAAACAAACCAATTGATGATAACTTGACAATGTGAACATGTCAGTGCTTGAATCACAATAAATAACACGAAGCGCATTTCAGGATACATAAATAAAAAAGAAAGTTTTAAATAAAAACAGTGTTCTATAAATAACAAATTTCAATTTAAGGTATACATTGGTGTACGGTTTTCGTCATTTAAAGAAAGTTTAATTAACTCGGATAAACCACAATATTCTGCGTGAAATTTAATATTAGGTTCCCATCTCTCCAAACGTTACCGATTTCCGTCGGTTTATTTGAAAGGCTAACTTATTTTATACCTCGACTAGTAAGGTCCACAACTTCATTTGCGTTGAATCAAATCTAATAAAAGACGTTGTTAATTTCGGTCCGTTTTCACTTTTTATTGAGCATTTTTGTGAGATTGCTTTCTACATGTTAATATTTTAAAATGTTAAATAGCAACCACTTCCGTTTTAAAAACGGATAGGTCCTGCAAAAACTCATGTCGAAACGTTGTGAGTTTTTATACCACAAAAAAAAAAAAAAAAAAACAAAAACATGATTAATGACAACCATTTCGTTTGGAATTTGTTGTACAAATATTTCGTATCGGGATGGGCCATTATATGTAGAAAATTTCAGTCGGTGTTTCAAAAAAATTTAGATTAATTTAATGAAATCAGAATCTGATTTCACATTTTACTAGAGTTATTATGGTTGAAATCTAAATATGACAATGTGACAAGTTTGAACTTAGTTGGTACTCCTGTCGACAATATGAGTTTTTATTACTATTTCTTTTAATATTATTTGATATGCTCAAAACGTGCCTCATCAAAATAACGGGTTTTGACCCTAAGAGTCGATCTAGGTGTGTCCGTCAGTCTGGCTGGGCTGGGGAGTATCCGATTTGATTTAATTTTGGTACATCGTATCCCGACGTCAATCAAGTGGACGGAAGAAAACAGCAACATCAGAAGAAATGGTTCGAAAAGAAAAGAAGCGACTTGATCGAAACCAGCGTCGCAGTGCCTCGCGAAAAATGACTCCTGAGCTGATATTCCATTCGGCAAATATTGAAAAATGCGATTGGGGTAAAGCAATTGAAATTCCAAAAAGTGCAAGAAATTTTACCGCTACAGAAAGAAAATTGACTCAAAAGAGTTTCTTCGCTTGGCCGAAAGTAGTGAACTGCCGAATTTGGTTTTCTCCGATGAGAACACATTCGTTGTCCAGCAGTTTGAAAACAAACAAAATTATCGTATTTTCTTGCCAAAGAGGTCAGCTGAAAATGTGCACCTTCGGTTGGCCACCAAAACTCAAGCGCCGGCCATGGTGATGATGTGGGTGGCTGATGATCAGAATAAATGCCGAATATTATCTCGAAAATATTTTAGAGGGTTTATTAAAAAAAAGATTTTGGTCGTAGGCCTTGGACATTCCAACAGTACTCAGCACCATCGCACTCAGAACGCGCCACCCAAGAATGGTTACAAAATGAGGTTCCTCGTATCATTTCCAGCGCACAATGGCCACCAAAATGTCTGGATACCAATCCGTTGAATTATTGTGTCTGGAGTATTTTGGAAAGCAAGGTTGGCACTAAAAAATACCAAAGTCTCGATCACTTCAAGCAAGCGCTTCGCCGGGAATGGGCCAAAATACCGAGTTCAACATTCGAGCAGCGTGTGACGGTTTCAATGGCCGTTTGAAGGCCATAATTCGTGTCATAGGTGACCAATTCGAACAAATCTAAACTCAATCTAAAATTTGATGCTATTTCCGACATTTCTTGCTTTCATTCAATAAAATTCTTAAAAAAAAATTAAATATTATCGTGTTTGAATTTGTTGCAGTTTTTTTATCTCACCCTGTTCTGTGTCTATTTGAAAGAATTCCATTAGAAATTTGACTATAATCGTTAAATTTCCGAATATTGGGAGATACCGGTATTACAATGCTTAGTTTGATTTTTAAGTGGACCAGAGGTAGATTTGTTTGATATTGCTCGAAGCGTACGAGTTTTACAAGGCTCGTCAACGTGTTTATCTTTTTTTTGGTTTGCAGCTGTGGGTACTCGCCTAGACTATAATCTACTCAATTTCGAGCGTATTTTACTTTCTGATACATCCTTATACTCTGACAAAATGCTAAAAAATCGCTATTTATAATCCCTTTCGAAAAAACCCAACAATTCTACATTAACAGCGTTTCAATCAAATTCCTGGTAGTCCAAGACAAAACTTCTAATATCCTTTTGGACCGCATTCCATAACTCTAACCTAATCTCTCGCCTAATTCCAAGATTCTAGCTTTAGTGGTTTGGTCTATATTTTCCAGGTCAGTCATTCATTAACCCATCAGTATGCTTCCTTATGATTTATTTAGACAACTTTATTTAAGATCACATAAAATATTCTAAAGAAAATTAATTAGAATATTTGTCTATAATATGTAAATGCCGAATTTCAAGCGCCATGCTATCAGAACGTAGCCTATTTTAAGAATTTATGCAACAATTTTAAGAAATTTGTTAAGTTTTTTATGACATGTAAAAACTGAAAACATTCCAACCAATCGCAAAAAAACTCTTCTGATGACCTGCTATGAATTTTGAGGTGAAGGGCATTTTGAAAAAGTATAACACAAAACCAAAAAAAAAAAAAAACATTTTCGACACAATAGGTACTCGAAAGTGAATTACAACCAAAACGTTTGCACTTTATAATCAATTTTATTAAAATACCTACTTAGCCATTTCTCATTCAATTGATAAGACCCTGAAGTTCTCGGAATGTGGAACATTTGGCGTCGCCACTGTGTTAGTAAGGCATGGACATGAAAATGTTTGCTCAAGTCTAAATGTACTTCCCCTTTTCCGGAATATAAACAATTCGATCGTAAAATAATGAATGAACCTACAAACCAACAACAAAGGTGTGTTACCTTTGGCTATTGTTGTTGTTTTTTGTTCTGTTTTGCTGATAAACAAAGTTTATTTTGCTAATTGAGTGAAAAAAGCATTTCCCAG